CACTTGGCTGGGTTTTCCTTGTTGCTCTTTTAAAAGGTAATTTATGGTGAACAGGACACATTGAGTGTACAAGTGTATGTGAGTGAGAGAAAGAGTGGTTTTGTGACAGTTTCCTGACCAGAATGTTTTGTGTCTGCAGGTGTCCAGTGTGAGGTGCAGCTGGTGGAGTCTGGGGGAGACCTGGTGAAGCCTGGGGGGTCCCTGAGACTCTCCTGTGCAGCCTCTGGATTCACCTTCAGTAGCTATTGCATGAGCTGGGTCCGCCAGGCTCCAGGGAAGGGGCTGCAGTGGGTCGCAGGTATTAGCAGTAGTGGAAGTAGCACATACTACGCAGACTCTGTGAAGGGCCGATTCACCATCTCCAAAGACAACGGCAAGAACACGCTGTATCTGCAGATGAACAGCCTAGGAGCCGAGGACACGGCCGTGTATTACTGTGCCAGTGACACTGTGAGGGGAACTCAGTGTGAGCCCAGACACAAACCTCCCTGTAGAAGGGGATCTGGACCACCAGGGGGTGCACACTACTCACCATTTTGTCTTTAAGGCCCAGGAGCAGATGAGGTTGGTGGATATGGCAGGTTTCCTCCCAGGGTCTGGGGCTTCCTCTCTAATTATCGCTGTTTCCCCCAGGGAGCCTCTCTGCACACATAGTTCTGTGCTACCTATTCATTCTCTGACATAAATAAAAAGTTGAAAAACTGCTATACTAGGAAGCGCAAAAGTCAGTGTCACTTGCACTTGCTTGTTCCTGGACCTAAATATGAATGAATTACAAATATCTCCATGCAAATCCCCTGAATACTTTCAAGAGTCCCAGCTGCACTCACTGTATATCATAGGAGAATCCAGCTCAGTGTGCAAGCTTGCAAGAAGTGCACTCTGGATATGGGGCTACAGTGGCATCAACAACCCAAAGCCAGAGAGCAAAGATCCCTGGTGGGGCTCACTGTCTTAAACCATGTTCCCAACAATGTTAGTGGCAGCGTGGGAAACACAGGGACCCCACCAGGACATGGTGTGGATGTAGAGTCTGTTGATCACACACACACAAACACACACACACACAACATGAGAACATAAAACTTTCATCCCTTTTACCATCTTGTCTGTTGAGAGCAGGGCAGGCCTCTCCTCAAGTCATAACTGCTTGGATGGAGCCAAGGAAGGACACCGGCTCAGGGTGTGTGCTGTGGTTCAGTGGTGGGCATGGGAACCTGTTCATGGGAAGGGTTTACGTGGAGTCAGTCTCCCACCTGCATCGAAGGAGGGAGAACTGGTGTGTTCTTGTTAGAGTTTCCATCTGTGAGGCAGGAAGAGAAGAGTGAGGAATGAAGGTCAAGGAGCTAACAGGCAATAATCAAAAGATACCAAGTGATGACTAATTCGAATAAACATATGTGAAAATGGCAAGAACAAAAGAGAGAAATGGCCATTCTGAGTAGAAAATGATTCTAATCCTTGGAAAATTAGAAGAATAATCCATGGAAACATCACAAGTAGAAAGATAATGATAGAAGTAGACAGTTCTACCCGTGTCTGCAGTGGAAGCTGTCCACTCCCCAAGGTCACAAACTGGTTCTGACGTCCTTGTGTTTGCTCTGTGCACACAGAGACCAGAGGTTCTACTGGATCCATGAGAATCCTCAGGCTGAGGTGCTGGATGGGAGGAGCCTTCCACCTGCAGGGAATAACTAATTACCTTTCAGTTGCTGGTATCAGCTCAATGTGTATGACCTGCACCATCACAGGTTGAATCCTAAGGACATTGTGATGGATCGAGGAGCACCAGGCTTAGGGAATCCTTTAAATCAGGAGGGCGAACTCTCATGACAGGATTAGTGCCCTTATGCCACAGGACTGGGAAAGCTCCCTGCTCCCTGATCCCATGTGAGGTGACAGGGAAAGAACGCACTAGGACGTGGGAACCCTCCAGACACCAAATATATGCACCATGACCTAGAATTCCCACAATCCAGAACTGTGAGAAACGAGTTTGTTCTTTAAAACCATGCAGTCAGTGTACATTGTTACAGCAGCTGGAACAGACTGAGACATTAGTGACACATGAACCCAAGCACTGATGCTCTGGCATTTCCCTGCTGCATTTGTTTCTAAAGTACCTGG